CTGACAATTGCCTGAATGGCACACAGCTGGTCGACCGTGCATCGTTAAGGACATTTTCAGATAATAAGATCTGGTCGTTTTATAGCCAAGGCTAGATCTTTGGCCGTTTCACGACCATAGATTTGGCCTTTTCACTGGCAGATCTGGCCATTTCATTGTTGGCCATTTTCAGCCATAGATCTCCAAAATGTCCTTATCAGCTCACGATTAGCCAAATTCAGCTAGCCCTGCGTTGTTCCGATGACTGCTGGTGATGGTGGCTGGTGATGGTGACTGGCGATCGATAGTCATCTTGGGTGTTTGGGGGTGGTTGTGGTCTTGGGTAATTTGGTTGAAGTATAAGGGTAATTTTGTCTTTAAAATCTTGAGTATAAGGCTAAAATTGTCCATCAATATATTGTAAATTGTTTAGATAACAAGGGTACTACTGTCCTAAAATAAAATTAATAAGGGGTAAAATTGTAACAAAATTAAGATTACCAAGTAATTTTAAAATACCTAAGAAAATTAAGGTAATCAAATTACCTCTTATATGACCAATAGTAATTACTATTGGTTTTGGAAGATAAGTGGAATCTTATATTATTTAGCAACTAAACGTGGTAATCTAGTAATATAAGATGACATCACCTCAATACTCTTAATGAACCCCCAACCAAACACCCGCTAAGAGTTAAATGGAATGGTGAGTAGGTGAATGACATTACATTACCAAATAAATTAACACATCATTTGTGATGTAGATTTTGGGATGTGTACTATATACTAGTACTTTTGTAAAACATTGGCGCACCAACATGCAATAATATATACAAATTAATTGAGAAAAAAGCATAAGAAATGTAGAAATAAAATTTATCAAGCACATATAAATTTTTTGTCACAACTCATTATTCCATAGCACAATTATAAGTGATTATACTTATCAGGTCAGTACCCAATTAAAAATGATAATATAACTTCTCCCCTTGTGGCCGAATGGCAAACCCTTTAACCATTAGGGTTTGCTATATCTAGGGGGTTTTGTGTTCAAGTCATGGGAGAGACACCTACCACATTTGTGCAATTACTTTAGTTTATTGAACTTATAGGGTGTTCTGTGGCCCTGAGGATTAGGCAGACTGGGTTGGTAATTGTGCATAGATACCTCAGTTAGTAATATTTTTTTTTTAAAAAAAAAAAAAAGACAATGTAACTATGTTTGTAGAGTTTATAGCGAAGGCAACTAGAACATGGACCATCAATCAATATTTTGTTTGCTAATTTCGGGAGGATCAATACAGGAACAGCTATAGCAACAATAATAGCAACAGGTAACAAAACAAGCTAATTTCAATATTATTTTCTTGCTTTTCTCATATTGTAGAATATTCATGTTTGTCAAACTTATGACTTGTGTGTGCACAACAGTTTTATGTGCACACTGGTTGCCAATCTTATGACTGAGCTTGTTTCTTATGTCTTGTGTGTGCATAACAGTTTTATGTGCACACTGGTTGCCAGACTTATGTCTTGGCTTGTTTTGTATCTAGCGTGTATGCACAACAATTTGTGCTTCCACGAGTTGCATGTCTGATAAAGTAGCAAAGATATTTATTTATCTTTGTTGCTACCTTTTTAGGACCTTTTACATGTGTAATGTTATCCTTAAGTGGTCCTAGGGAATAAATATGCTTTTCTCGATTTGTTTTGCAGTACAAACCAAAAGAAGGAATACTTTCCTTATTTAGACAAACATGGGTCAGCCATTTTTGGCTCGCGTGGCACAAATGTGTTGAGCAAGAAACCCTATACTATATTATATCTTTCTTGTGTGTTTGAATCTGACCTTTTGATCTTTTATTCTTCTTTGTACTCTGAAATTTCTTAGAGTATATTTCTCTTAAAAGGTTCATAGGTTCATTTCATTTTTGTGCCAAAACCTCACCATATCATTAATTGTCTTGATTGTTGATGGAACGTGGTTCCTTTGTTGACATTGGTACTTGGCTTCGGTGGTTGAAGCTTGGTGGTTCACAAGCTGCTCTCGGGTGTGTTCCTGGTGTGAAGAAGGTCTAAGGAGTTTCAACACGTTAAAGATTCAGAGTGTGGTGCTCAGTGTAAGGTTGAACAGGGAGTTCTTTTTACTGTATCTTAGATCAACTTTGAACATTATCTTGTAATGTGTTTTTAACTTAGTGGATTACTTTGATCTGGATAAGGTCCTATGGATGTAGGCTAAGAGTGGATTTTAGCTGAACCATGTATATGACTGTGTTCTTTACTTTATGCATTTGTGGATGAAATGTTCAAATATGAAATCTCCTAATCTACTTGGTAAAAATATTCTGTTGCACTTAAAATGGGTAGTCTAACACCAAAAGGAGTCATCAAACTCCTAACACATATCATGCTCTTAGCTTTCTGGGATCGATTCTAGGAACGCTGAGCCGCCATCTTCTTAGCCTGTGGGAAATGTTGGAGCTGTATGTTGAAATAACCAAATTACACAAGAGACGATATTGCGAAGAAAAGATTAATTGTATATATTGAAGAAATTCAATGAATTGTCTGCCTTTTGTGGTGTAACATCGCATTTTACTGTAATAAAAATTTATCTGCTCATCATCTCTTATTATTTTGTTTAATTTATTTTTAAATTTAAGTCATTCAATCATGTTATTGTATATCAATACTTTATATTGAAAGTTTAAGTATAACCAAGTTAATTAAACTCTTGCGGAAAGTGTTGATTGTGTTCATCGGTGCTTGTGGGTATGGTTATTCTACATATTCATCATATCAACCATAAGTATAAATAAAGCACACAAGCATATATACATGGTTCGGCTAATAGCCTACATTCATGGGACTAAGTCCAGATGAAGCAAATCTATTATAGCAAACATTCAAGGTTCATTACAAAGTTGAAGTTAAGCAAACAAATGTAAAACACTCCCTGTTTTCACAACACTCTAACTTCACCCTTTGGATGATCCACTGTCTTGCCACAACTTGCTTGAATGCAAGAAACCTCTTGGATAGCTCGAGCTCTACTCAAGCTTCAATTTCGAAGACAACCTTCAGCTCCATACACTTGAAATCCCTTCAAGCTTTCATCAATGGAACCATGTTCCAACACACTCAAACAACCAAGATTAGATAAATATTTTGAGGACTACAAACAGCAAAGGAACCTGACCTAAGATGAATAAAACCTCTAAGGATTTTCAGAGAACAACAAGATGAATATTCATGTTCAACCGTAAATGCAAGGATGTAAAAGTTTATAAAGAATCATTGTGCAAGAAATCCTCAAACAACCAACCGATAAAGCCTTACACATGTTTAGCTATTTAACGAAAGTTTTAACAACTTGTTAGAACCACTTCAAAAAAGCAAAACAAATTTCTAGGACCACATTTGAAATATTTGACACCTATATTTGGACCACTCGCGCATATTTTAACCCTAGATAAAATCCTAACAGCCAATGAAAACTGAACATCTATACTAAAGTATGACTGGACGACTGTTTACACATCTGACTCTAATGTACCACATATCTTGCAATACAATCAGACTAAGGAAATTTGAATACATCAATGCAGAATGTGATGACATGTGTAAACTACAGACATGATTGAGCTTAACCAAAAAAATGTGCAAATATCAAAAATGCATGGGCGCACATAACTTCATAAGTTGACAAAACTAATTACATATATAAATAAATTTATATAAAAAGTTTATTATATAATGTTATTCTAATAATAATATATAAAAGCAAAATTATGTAAATTTTAGCATGTAGAGAACTGTGAAATTTATAAAACACCTACTAGTTGTTGTCACAACTCATTATTCCATATTACAATTATAATACTTATCAAAACTGCTCCACAAACATTTTATCTGGTTCAGTACCGGATTAAAAAAGGATGAGGATCCTTTCCTAACTTGAGCTTTACCTAAACTTTTTTCCATTCTTTGACATGTAGCACTGATAAAATAAACGCTCAAAATTCTCTATTTAATTTTTATTTAACATTTTCTTCCTTTCCTTCCGACCCATGTTACCAAAAATATTAAAACACTTAAAACCCCAAATTAAATATTAGCCAAGTTGGAAATCTCAGCCCACAGTAAAAGCAAAATCCATGGACAGTAAATGCAAAAGCCATGGATAAATTCTCTAAAGCCTGTAACACAGATTTTCAACAATGAATCACAGACTAAACATTGTGATTATTGTGATATAAAGTTTAGGTGCCAGACTCTAAAACTCTGTTTTTCAGTTCTATGTTTTAGTGCAGTTTCTGTTTGCTTAGTTTTGTAGAAACCTGGGGTGTAATTGTAAGAATTTAAAAGATGGCTTGGGTTATTTTGTAAACTCTGAAGAGTTATGTAAACGGTGCGTTTTAGCACCAACAGTAGTATAATTGCGTCGCACGCATTTTCAACTCATTCAATGAACACTTTACCAACAATTTAGTTTGTTACAACTGTTTTTCTCTCCCAACTCTTCTCTGCGATTTTTCTTGAAATTCTACAGTGATACATAAAATTTTAAAAATCCTTGTCCATTGTTCATCATCTAAGTTCAACTCGTCCTCGTCTTCCTCCCCCTGTCTATTATTGAAAAAAAAAAAAAAAAAAACAACTTAAAACAATATTTATCTGTCTATCTTCCCTCTTCTCTTTCATTTTCAAAACAAAAACAAACAATTATAATATTAATACAAAGTTTCTTTATTGTTTATCGATCTTAATTCATAACACCAATGAATTTCTTTATTGTTTTATCGTTGCCTGAATAACAGAGGTGAAAGCAATAGAAAAGACTTCATGTTAGATAATGGATTTTGAAGAGAGGAAACTTTTTTTTGTCACTGTTTTGGTATTGTGGGAATGTAGAAAATTGCATTTTGATTGTGGATGAAAGAAAAAAAAACCATTAACAGTAAATCTTAGCTAAAGAATTTATTAGCGCCACATGTCAAAGGAATGTAAAAAGTTCGAGTAAAACTTAGGTCAGGAAATGATCCTAATCCATTAAAAAATTGCAACGTAGCAATGTTTTTAGAGTTTTTCCTATCATCAATTGACAATACAATACAAATTATTAGTGATGCAGATCCACTTTGAAGGCGAAGGCAGCTAGAACAGGACGATCAAACAATATTTTGTTTGCTAGATTGGGGAGGAGTATCAGTACGGTAACGGCAACACCAACAGCAATAACAACGGGCAGCAAAGCAAGAGACTAATTTCAATATTATTTTCTTACTTTTCTTGTACCACGCTCTTAACCTTTCGGAAATGCCTAGAAGACATCTTCTTATCATGCGGGAAATTTCGGGGCCGTATGTGGAAAAAAGAAAGTCGCGTAGGAGGGGATACTGCCAAGAGAAAAACAAGAACAGAGGCACTGAAGCTGATGCATACACTAAATAAAGGATCCAATAACCCTTTCTGTCACCAAACACCAGATAAACAGTGGAACAAAAGGCTACCATAAGCGCTGTCAGAGAGAGGAACAACATAACAAGACCCCACATAAACTTTGTTGGAACAGAGTAAAGAAAATCATGTTCGGAATACCGCGCAGTGAGAACAGAAAAAAATATTATGATGGCAGCAACTGATGAGAACAGAGAAATTGAATCTGAAACGGCAAATATCTTGAAGGATGCCCGTTTGTGAAAAGTTGGTCGACCATCATCGCTGTAGTCACCTGGTACTGTGATGGCTGCTGCAAATACTATAGTGGCAATGAGTGCCGCAGCAAGTGAGAATGAGGTTGCAGAATCTTTCATCCATTTCTGACCTTCTTTGACAAGTCCTTTATGTTCTTCCATAAATACCATTCGTGGAGTTTCTCCTTTAGAATTTTTTTCCTCTTTGTAATCAGGCGGCACAAGTTTCTCCACTTCCTATATAAAAGATAAAATCCATAATTAACTGTCTTATACCATCTTAATATATTTGATATAGTATTAGGTGTATGCAATGAGTAAGCTTAAATTTCTTTAACAAACTAATGAAAGTAATTTAAATAAAATCATTTAATACCTGAACTTAAAGTGTTAATTATAGCATCATAAATAAAAAAAGTATGCAAGTATGCAGTGATTCAATATTTAGTCTAATAGTTACATTCACAAATACACGAAAGAAGAACACTCAGAATAGATCCATATACACCCGACATTCATATAAAATTTGGATTTTATTTTTCTAGTTGAAATATGAGGAATCAAACTTAACTTTTAACTATGATATATACCATAATAAATTACTACTTGAACTAGAAGATAAAAGCTTGACTAGAAGGTAAAGCCCTAATACCAGCCTTGTATCACTATATATAAAAGTCTTACCTTGTACCATTGTAACTCATGTTGCATCTGTATAGCTGCACTAGGAATGCGGTTTAGTTGACTTTTGGGTGCCAAATTTCCTGCCAAGTGCAAGATATTGTTCTTGTCAATGTCTTGAGACATCAATAATAATTCTTTACGACCACTCATATGATATATGAGTTGGAATACATTTTCTCGACGCTGCAGAACTGCCAAATGGAATATATTATGATTCTTTTCATTTGTAAACCAGATTGCATCAGGAAATGAATCTATAATCACTTCCACAACTTCGGAAATCCCCAATTCTGCTGCTAAAAGGAAGGCTTGTTTTAGGATTGAGGAAGATCTTCCGTAGTTGTCTTGATTCTCTATAATTTCCTTGCACAGTTGTTTGACAAGTAGAAGTGCTTGGTGATGCGTCGACTTTGTCTTTCCTTTTTCCTTCTTATAACATACAACTGCAAATTAAATAGACTCAACAATGAAATAACTATGTTGCCGGGTAGAATATTGCAAGTCAGAAGAAAACAATTTATTGAACTCTCACAAAATATGAGTCCATTTAAACCTTACTGCTGACTCCTAGTACGAGGTTATAGAAATCACTTTATTTTCTCAAATATCCAATGTTTTCAGAAAATTTTAAGGGAGGAAAAAAAAAAAAACTCCCCTAAAATTTTTAAAAGCCACTAAAATGCATTTAAGAAAAAGAGAATATATTCTTATAAAGAGGTGAGTAATATTTTCTCAAAATAATGGATGTTGAAAATTTTAATCATCCTTTACGGGGTTGAATTTTTGTTTAGCTAACACCACAAAATGTTTTTGAAAGCTGCCTGAAGGAGTTTTTCAAATTCAAATAATTTAATGAACGGATTCTCTTAGGATGCCAATTACTAAATACCCTCATGAAACAACATAAATTGTGAAATAAATTTATATTAATAATAATTTAAACTTAAAAAAGAAAATTGGTTGTGTCATTGGACAATAAGCATTAGCCGATCTATTAAATTAAAAAATTTCAAATGCGCTATTCTTATATCAGTTGAATAACAGAGATATTCATGAGTTATTGGCTGATAGAAGATTACTAATTATGAAATATATACTCACACTTGAATAATTGGTAAAACTTAGGCTTTTCCCCTTTTTCTGCCGGAATTGCAGACGGCTTTCGTGCTATTGCACTCCATAATAACAAAGATAGTCATGAGAGATCTGATAATAGCAGCAGTGGTGGAACTTGGAAATTTTACATTATTTTCCATTAAAAATTTATGAAAGATTATAAATAATTACATAATATATATGAATTTGACCAAGTCAAAACCTTATCAAGTAAGTCTAATATTATTATTGATTTTTGTAAAACTTTTAATATTAGAATTATAATAATCAAGTGAGAGTAAATTAAAATATTATGAATAAAGATAAATTAAAAGCTAATATTACAAATAAAAACAATCCATATCACAAATTAATTGATTTTTATATAAATAAATATGAAAATATTGAAAACTAAATAAGTGTTGCATTGATGTAACAAAAAGTTCGTTTTTTTTTTTTTTTTTTTTTTGTTGTTTTTTTTTCAAAAGTGTTAGACACTTAACTCAAAAATAAGGAATTTAACATGATATTTATGTTTCAAAATGTATAAAATCTTTCTTCATTCATACACAAAATCATTTTCACCAATTTTTTGTTTAGAAGTACAAAAAATTAATCTTCTTTATTTATTTTGTAAAATAGTTTTAGAAATGAATTTGTAAATCGGCTAGATGAACTTAAAATATTTCTCAATGTTTTATAAAGAAATTGTATTCACCTCCTAAAGTTCCATCCTAGTTCTGTATTCAGTAATTATGAATATATACTCACGTTTATAATCTTTGAAGAATTGCAAAAACTTTCGCTTTGTATTTGTCCACTCCGAATGCAGACGGCTTTCTCTATGTACTCAAAGAGACTCACCAGTAGGTAACTGCTCTTTGTAGCTAAATTTCCATGTTTTTAAGCAATTTTGTGCAAACGAACATAATGAGGGCAGAAAAATGGCTTAAAATATGCATCAATATAGTAATGAAACTTGCAGTACTAACTAAGTTTCTAATTGGCAATGCATTGAATGCATGAAAAATATATATCTTACCATAAATCCAGATATAAGCGAATTTAGGAAAGAAACACCAGATTATCACTAAAACGTGTTGAATCTACATAAAGTTCAAGTAACTGTCGCTGAATTGCATAAAATATTAATCATCTTCTTTTGGCCATGTCGAGCTGCCTCAATCAAAGGTATTCTTTTAAAATGTTTGAATCGAATTAAGTTAGAATTTACTTTCATCAATATCATGGGGCTGCTGGAGATTGCCAACGATCGCTGCAACGGAAAGAATCGTGTTGCCCTCGTTATTTTCTGTGCCAGTTGATCCATTGACATCCCCTTTAATAGATACTCGACATATGGTTGGCCTTGCCTGTCCCAACAGCTACATGAAGAGCTGTGTCAAAATTTACCGTGATCCGGGCTTTTAATGCATCTTTATCTTTATCACAGAGCGTTCGTACAGCTTCCAGGTTGCCTTCGAGTATAGCTTTATATAACAGCAAGTATTTCTTACATTCCGCTTCAACTTCTTCTGCAATAAAAACAAAGAGAAAATTTTCATACTTGTTTTAATTTGGCTGGCTGGATTGTTTATTTACTACTGAAATTTTATTTTAAGTTCGTACTACTTACTCCTTTCCTTATCTGGTAATATGGTAGGCTGTGATGAAGAAGAGACGATTAGTTGTAATGAAGAAGAGACGATAAGTTGTAATGAAGAAGAGATATTGTAGTTTGGCAGCGCGTACCTGTGTATTGCCTTGGAACTCTTCTTTCAAAGTGTTCCATGCTTCTTTCGCCGTCTTAACTTTATAAATTTTTGAACAAATGTTATCATCCACCGCTTGTTGAAGGATGTAAAGTGCTGCTGCATTTTTCTGCCAACTTGCTTTCAACTGCTTTCGTAACCAATCTGGAGTGAAGCTGGTGATCTCTGGGATAGAGAGTTCTTCATTAACAATGTCCCATAAGTCTTGGGAGAAAAAATATGTCTCCATCTTAGTACTCCATATATCATATTTTTCCCCAGTAAAGATGGGGATAGGAAGAGTAGGTGGATTTGAATTCCCTTTGGCCATCATAAGGGATTGAATGTTTAGCCTTGAACCCAACACCTCGCCAATGTATATATATATTGATGGACAGGGCTCTTCTACCAAATGGGATTACCGGATTAGCATTTGGTAGCTGATTGGTTGGTAATTACCCGAAAGAATGTGTGAAAGGGTTGATATGCATTGTGCATTTGTGATGGCTATATCCTTTTAAAATAATTGCAAATCATAAAAGTTGAAGTCTTAATGCAAAGTTGGAGTTACCGAAAAAAAAAAAAAGTTTCATTTTGTATAGATATAATTATTCTTGTCATGAATTTCTTCATTTTATAGATATAATTTGCATAAATACTTGGATGATTTTCATTTGTTAATACAAGAAAACATAAGTAAAGGGTCAACTAGTGTCATGTGTGAACATTTTATAGATATAATTTGCATAAACACTTCGACACACTTTAATGGAGATAACCATTCACATAAGTAAAGATTTTGTAATCTACACTATCCTTTAATTTATAAGGAAGAACAAAATCTTTTTCTATCAAGTCTTGGTCAACACTCGCCATATTTCAATATTTGATTTATTTGTATTGTGCCTCTATTTTCTAATCTAGTAGATCTTTTAAAATTTAATATTAATACTATGTTTTATAAAATTTAATAAAGAAACACGATTAGTTAGGATGTTAATGTCTATTAATTTAGTTACATTTTGGGGGCCAAGGGATAAGTCCAAAAACTGAGAGGGTTGAAAATGAGTTTTGAGGGACTAAATATAATGTTTCTATATAATTTTTAAAAAGTTCGTCTATATAATTTTTAAAAAGTTCGTGGAGCCATTTTTTTTAACTTAATTTAGAACACGAACCATCATTCGGAACCCTTGAATTAGGTCTTTTATATACAAACATTGCGAACACGCCATATGAGATGTAAAATTTGGAAATGAATATTTAGGACGATTAGTATTACTCTTATCATAATTTCTTCCATTCTATAATTTTTAGATTACATAGATTATATTTATTTGCACAAGTACTTTGATGATTCTCATTTGTTAATACATAGAGTTCAATATGGATATCTTCAGTCAATACCTAAATAAGATCTTCAATAGCATGACAGAAGACATTCATATGAGAAAACATAAGTAAAGGATCTCTACTTAAAAGCCTCTAAAGATACAATTACGTGAACAACTTTTTTCTTTCTAATTTGTCTTAATGTTTAATCCATTAAGAACTCTCTAGATAATCGCAAATTTACATAAGGGTAATCCAAATATGAAAATATATAGAAATTTTTTTTTAAATTTAATTGACATGAATGTAAATTATTAACAAACTTTTCATCTTCATTGTAAAATAGAGAAAAAAAAAAAATCTAAAATACTACAAGTACTATATCACGTATATCACCATTAAGTGAATTTGTACTTTCATCTATCTTTAGATTAAATATGATTGATAATTATTTGACAAGTATGTCTTTACTGATTTTTATCACATCAGTTATACCATCATGACATCATAGATTTTCTCTTATAATTCACACAAATGATTCAGGCTTTACCAAAATGGGGTCAATATGTAATTTTTAATGGATGACAAGGCCAGAGATTTAAAAGTTACATTTTTGGGGCCAAGGTTAATTTCAAAAACTAAGGGGGCTACAGTGAAAATTCAAATTAGAGGGACCAAATATTTTCTATATAAATTTTAAAAAAATTCGTGGGCCTCGGAGAGCCTCCGCCTTTGGGTTGGAACACTAACCAACTACTATTAACCTGTATTTAATCTAATGGTTGGGTGAGGTTAGTGAAATAAAACTATACATCACTCACGCCCAATAATTTCCTTTAAATCTTAAACAATTACACAATCTTTCAACTATACCTAACAAAAAATAATAATAATAAAGCATTATACATAGAACAAGAAATCAAATGAAACTTTGATTTCAAGAATCGTAACTTTTAATTTTAAAGTTTTTCTTAACATATTAATCTAAAGAAAATATTCTCGAGAAATAACAAATATGTATATATATATATATATTAATTTATTTCACATACAACTTTTGGGGCAAAAAACACTCAGTAAGGAATACATAAATGACATAATAAATCCAGGTGAACATGAAATTTTTTTTTTTTTTTTTTGAGCGATTACCAATTTTCAATCTTAATTGGTAATTCTCTCATCAAGAAGTCCTAATATAATTTTATCACAATCAGGCATTATGTCATGTTCGACCCAAGCTCAAGTCCGTATAAAGCCCAATATCCAATTAAAAAGGATTAACCCAAACTTGACTCAGAAGTATCAAAGAATTTGCCAAAGAATATTTTCAAAAGTTTCCAAAATATTCCTTCACCCAAAAGGCAACAGAATAAGACTCTGATCATATTGCTTACATACTTAATCTTAACCATTCATTTTAGTGGATATGTACAGGTCTGTACCGTCAAATCTATTCATAAAATCCTATATAAAGCTAGTTAGTATTAGATTTAATTCATTCCAAACATTGTATTTGATAAGAGCTTGAAAGTATACATTTTGTTAGTGATTTAATTGGACTATTTGTGGAAAAATGTGTTTAATTTGTGGAATTCGAATTGATTATTTCATAAATACCTTTTATGGGATCACGGGTGTATTTTGAGTATTTTCAGGTTCAAACTGATATTTGAAGGAAAAAGAATGATGTCGATGAAATTTGTGACGAGTTGGAACAAACGGTGCAAGAATCGGAGTTGAAACAAGAAAGTTGTGATGCGTCGAAAATACAACGTAAAATCTGGAAATCCTTCAAGATGAGCATGTTTCGATGTTTTGATCATAACTTAAGCTGTAGTAATCGGAATTCGACGATTCTGGTGGTGTTGGAAAGCTTATTCAAAGAGCTAAAAATTTTATGTTGATGACTTTACCAAATTCTGAAGTTCACGGACTCTAGAGATGGAAAGACTGATCACCGCAATGACCGTTTCTCATCACCACAGCGATGGGTCACGGGCCTGTTTGTCTTATTGCATTCTCCTAATCCAAATTTGAGTGGGTTAAGGATTTTAATTCTTTTCCTAAGTAACGTGAAAACCCTAGCATTATAAATAAGGATTTTTAATTAGTTTTAAAAGAGATTTGAAGGAGGACAAAGGATGGCTACTACTTTGGAGATCGGAATTCTTGCGATTCTCGTTCACAAATTAGATAAGTTTTTCTATTTTTCTTTCTTGAACTCATGTTATTAAATACAATGGTTGTTTTTATTACTGTAANTATATGCAGTATTCAAACCAAGCAACCACAAAATCTACAACAATAATCAATAATCAAATATGACAAGAAAATAAAGAACACAAGATTTATAGTGGTTCTGTAATCTGAAAGATTACCTACATCCACTCTTCAGGGCAAAGAAAAGAATCCACTATGAGAAAATGAGAAAACCTTACAAAGATTAGGCTCACCCCTTTTACACAAGGCACAACCTGAGAAAAACCCTCTGATTTACACTCGTACACCCAAATGCTCTCACCCCTCATACATCATCAAATAGATAGAATTAGGGGCAGATTTATACAACAAACAAAAGGTGAAACAGATAGGACAGCTAAGACCTACCATTACCGTTTGATTCCATCAACGTCCTTCGGATTTCCAGCATAGCAGATTCTAACAGTTTTCTCTCTCTGTTAACCAAGAGAGAATGATCGAGAATGAGTTGCGCAAAACCTAATTGAAATTAGGTTTATTGAAGATACCAAAAAAGATAAAATGCCCCTTAAGTCTTTAACTATTAACATTGACCACCCAAAGTAAAGGTTGACTTCCACATGTGTACATGTCAAGTGCCACATCACAACAAATCTCCACGTTGGCATTTGATCTTCTCCCTTTCTCATTGCCCTGGAAAAATTATTTTAGTCTTCTTCAATATGCAAAAGGCTCTTAAAGAGCCTTAACTTGTCCAAAGTTACTAATTTTGTGAACATATCTGTTGGGTTCTTCTTCCCAGGAATTTTCTCCACCTTAATAACTTTATCTTCAATCAGATTTCTGATGAAATGCAGCCTAACATCTATGTGTTTCGACCTCTCATGAAAGACCTGATTTTTGTACAGAAAAATTACACTTTGACTATCACTCTTGATTGGAACTTGTTGCTGAACCAGTCCCATCTCATCAAGCATTCCCCTGAGCCACATTGCCTCCTTAACTGCCTCTGTAATTGCAACATACTCTGCTTCCGTGGTGGACAGACTTACAATAGCCTGCAAATTAGCTTTCTAGCAAACTAGATTATTCCAAATGGTAAAATAGAAACCAGTCATGGATTTCCTATTGTCTACATTTCTAGCATAATCAGCATCCACACATCCCATGATGGGATTCTCTTGAATTTGCCCTCTGCTGTAAACAATGCCAGTGGACAGTGTACCCCTCACATATCTGAGTATCCATTTTACAGCTTCCCAGTGAATCTTTCTAGGGTTACTCATGAACCTACTTACTGAACTAATTGCAAAGGCCAAATTTGGTTTGGTATAGACCATTAAATACATCAAACTCCCTATTGCATTTGCATATGGTATACAAGCCATTTCCCTATTTTATTCTTCAGTTTCTAGACATTGGGTTACACTAAGTTTAAAATGCTGACCTAATGGTGTTTTGACAGGTTTAAAGTCAAGCATGTTAAACTTCTTGATTAATTTTTCAGCATACTCTTTCTATGACAACATAAGACTCCCAGTTTTCTTATCCCTTTCAATGTTCATACCCAAAATCTTTCTAGCTTGTCCATAATCTTTCATCTCAAATTGTTTACTCATCTCCCTTTTGAATCTATCAATTTTAGAAAAATCCTTGCAAGCTAGCAACATATCATCCACATATAAAGACAAGTATATATAGCATTCACCATATAAACATCTGAAATAGAAACACCCATCAAAACTATTTTGGATGAAACCAGCATTCAACATAAAATAATCAAATTTCCTATACCACTGCCTAGGTGACT